TAGGCTAGTCAGGGGTCAGGGACCCACTTGAGCAGGCAATCTGTCCATTCTCAGATCTCAACCTCCATGTTGGGAGATCCACTGTTCTCTTCAAAGTTGTCGGACAGAGTCGTTTGCATCTGCAGAGGTTTCTGCTGCTTTGTTGTTGTTGTTGTTGTTTAGCTGTGCCCTGTCCCCATAGGTGGAGTCTACAGAGACAGGTAGGCCTCCTTGAGCTGCTGTGAGTTCCACCTAGTTCTAGCTTGCCAGTGGCTTTGTTTACCTACTTAAGCCTCAGCAATGGCGGGCAACCCTCCCTCAGCCTCGCTGCTGCCTTTCCGCGAGATCACAGACTGCTGTGCTAGCAATGAGGGAGGCTCCGTGGGCGTGGGACCCTCCCGGCCAGGTGTGGGATATAATCTCCTGGTGTGCCCGTTTTCTAAGATCCTTGGTAAAGCGCAGTATTGGGGTGGGAGTTACCCGATTTTCCAGGTGTTGTGTGTCTCAGTTCCCCTGGCAAGGAAAAAGCATTCCCTTCCCCCTTGCGCTTCCCAGGTGAGGCGGTGCCTCGCCCTGCTTCAGCTCTCGCTGGTCGGGCTGCAGCAGCTGACCAGCACCGATTGTCCTGCACTCCCTAGTGAGATGAACCCAGTACCTCAGTTGAAAATGCAGAAATCACCTGTCTTGTGTGTGGCTCGCACTGGGAGTTGGAGACTGGAGCTGTTCCTATTTGGCCGTCTTGCTCCGCACCCCTCCCATTGTTTGTTTCTTGACTTTCTGTCTTGATGACCTATCTAGTGCTGTCAATGGAGTATTGAAGTCCCTCACTATTATTGTGTTACTGTCTACCTCATTTCTTAGGTCTAGTAGTAATAGTTATATAAATTTGGGAGTTCCAGTGTTAGGTGCATATATATGTAGGATTGTGATATTTTTCTGTTGGACAAGTCCTTTTATTATTATATAATGTCCGTCTTTGTCTTTTTTTAACTGCTGTTGCTTTAAAGTTAGTTTTTTCTGATATAAGAATAGTTAGTCCTGCTCACTTTTGTGGCCATTTGCATGGGGTGTCTTCTTCTACCCTTTTGCCTTAAGTTTATATGACCCTTTATGGTTAGGGGAATCTCTTGAGGGCGGTAGCTACTTGCTTGGTGCATTATTATCAATTCTGCAATTCTGTATCTTTTAAGTGGAGCATTTAGGCCACTTACATTCAATGTTAGTATTGAAATGTGAGGTACTGTTCCATTCATCCTGCTATTTGTTGCCTGGATACCTTGGTTTTATTCAGTTATTTATTGTATTTTTGTTTTATAGGTTCTGTGAGATTCATGCTTAAAGAGGTTCTGTGTTGATGTGTTTCCAGGATTTGTTTCAATATTCAGAACTCCTTTGCACAGTTCTTGTAGTGTTGGCTTGGTAGTGGCAAATTGTCTTAGCATTTGTTTGTCTGAAAAAGACTGTTATCTTTCCTTGATTTATGGACTTTAGTTTTGCTGGATATAAAATTCTTGGCTGATAATTTTTTTTAAGGAGGCTGCAGATAGGTATGCATGCTCATTTGAGGTGTTCTTCTGTTATCGAAGATTACTAAAATCACATGGGTTGAAAAGCATTTGGGATTATTTACTTAATTGAGTACTCATTTATTTTATATTAATTGATACCATGTATAAACACTATATAAACATAGATATGGACATATACATATATGTGATACAACATACAACATATACATGTGCACATAAAGATAGAGGGAGACAGAAATACTTTAGATTTTTGACTTTAAAACTTTATGCGTGGAACCCATAAAACTCACTATTTAAAGAAAAAGTTGTATTTAAATTGTGCTTTTGTAAATAGAAAAAGTTAACGTTTGTCTGAGGAAGCCCTTGCTGAGTTTTAGAGAAATTGGGTAGTAAATTTACATCTCAATGCAGAGAGGAGAGTGAGATAGAAAGAAAGAGAGAGAGAATTTGGGTGTGTTCAAGGAAGATTAAAAATAGATGCCAGGGTAACACAACAATGATAGAAATTTATAACAGGATTTTATTAGGAGACCAATTTTATTGACATACATAGCTTTTATTTTGGTCTGTTTTCCAACTGTACTCCAGGAAACACACTACACAGGCTCCCTTCTTAAGTGCTGGTGGGCCACTGCACATGCAGACAGACCACTTTAAGGGAAGAATCAGGGGAAAAGAGATGCAGATTCCAGAATTATGCCAACATACCAAAGCCTAAGTCAAAGGTCAAACCACAGACGTGAAATCTCATCGCCTGTTTGGCCCTATTTTCAGTGTACTTTACTTTCTTTAATTTCTGCTCTAAAGCTTTTAATGAACTTTCACTCTTGCTGTAAAACTTGCCTCAGTCTCTTCTTCTGCCTTATGACCCTTAGTTGAATTCTTTCTTCTGAAGAAACAAGAATTGAGACTGCTGCAGACATGTACAGATTTGCTGCCATTAATATACCTTAGTGCCATTCTACATGATAAAAATATATATATTCATATATATGTATAAACATGTATGTATTCATAGAGACCTTGAATCTACATTCTTGTTGCACTTTATGTAAACAATTCAGGTATCACACTAAAACTTATTTTGGAAATAAATTGGTCCCAAATGATTTCTATTTCATAAAATGGGAAACAGGAGGGGGAAAATTATTTTTCAGAGGAAAACAACAGAACAACAATTATTACATTTTATATTTGTTCATTCTTTTTTTTGAATTTTGTTATTTACCTACAATTTTGACTGAATCCTAAATCTTTTCCTGTCCAGAAGTTTCATAACTAATGGTTTCAGATATTTCTTCAATTTTTCCTCCAAATTGGTGTATTATAAATTTGAACTGTGCTTTTCAATATTTTATCATTTTTTAAAATTACACGTTTAAGTTCTGGGATACATGTGCAGAACCTGCAGGTTTGTTACATAGGTATACACGTGCCATAGTGTTTTTCTGCAGCAATTAACCCATCATCTACATTAGGTATTTCTCCTAATGCTATTCCTCCCCTAGCCTCCCACCCCCCAACAGGCCCCAGTGTATGATGTTCCTCTCCCTGTGTCCATGTGTTCTCATATCCAACTCCCACTTATGACTGAGAACATGCAGTGTTTTGTTTCCTGTTCCTGTGTTAGTTTGCTGAGAATGGTGGTTTCCAGCTTCATCCATGTCCCTGCAAAGGACATGAACTCATCATTTATTATGGCTGCATGGAATTCCATGATGTATATGTACCACATTTTCTTTATGTAGTCTATCATTGATAGGCATTTGCGTTGGTTCCAAGTCTTTGCTATTGTGAATAGTGCCACAATAAACATGCGTGTGCATGTGTCTTTATAGTAGAATGATCTATAATCATTTGGGTATATACCCAGTAATGGGATTCCTGGGTCAAATGGTATTTCTTGTTCTAGATCCATGAGGAATCGCCACACTGTCTTCCCCAATGGTTGAACTAATTTACACTCCCACCAACAGTGTAAAAGCATTCCTATTTCTCCATATCCTCTCCAGCATCTGTTGTTTCCTGACCTTTTAATGATCACCATTCTAACTGGCATGAGATGGTATTTCATTGTGGTTTTGATTTGCATGTCCCTAATTACCAGTGATAATGAGGTTTTTTTTCATGTTTTTGGTCACATAAATGTCTTCTTTTGAGAAGTGTCTGTTGATGTGCTTTGCCCACTGTTTGATGGTTTTTTTTTTTTTTTTTTTTTTTTTGTAAATTTGCTTAAGTTTCCTGTAGATTCTGGGTATTAGCCTTTTGTCAGATGGGTAGATTAAAACTTGCGAGCTGAAAGTAGAAGACTTATATAAACTTCTGGAGAAATCATAGTAACTTATATATAAATAACCTTTATGCCTGCTGATGAGTAGACTACACAAAATGTACACATGAACACTGGATTCAGACTGTAATTCAGAGAATTGTGTCAGATTGCCATTGCAATTGAAAGATGCTTCAGAAACTCTAGAAAAGCTAGTCTATAGACTGCTGCAGACATTACAGGTGAACCAACATACAACTGAAAGGGTTAGAACGATGTTTGCCAAACACATTGCTCTAATTGAAGCAGCATTTGTGTGACTTTAATAAGGTTCCAGGATTATACTGTCCCTTTGTTGCTGTGACTTCCCTTTGCCCTTTTCTGATTTGTCTTCATGCCCTTTTCCATGGGACGTGACTTGTTAAGAATGAGCCTTCCTAGTCATGTAGGATCAGATGAAACATACAGCCACAGGGGTCTTCTACAATGCTTTCTCTGAGAGCTTTTGAAGAATTGTGGGGCCAGGTGTGCTGGCACAGGCCTGTAATCCCAGCCCTTTGGGAGTCCAAGGCAGGAGGATCACTTGAAACCAGGAGTTTAAGACCAGCCTAAGCAACAAAGGCAGACCACATCCTTACTATACAAAATAAATCAAATTAGCCAGGTGCAGCGATGCATGCCTGTAGTCTCAGACACTTGGGAGGCTAAGGTGGGAGGAGCGCTTCAGCCCAGGAGTTCAAGGCTTCAGTGAGTACACTCTAGTCTGGGTGATAGGGCAAGATTGTGTCTCTTAAAAACAATACATAAAATTAAAAAAGAAAGAAAGAAGAGAAAAAGAGCGGGGTAAACAGGAAATCCAAAGATCTCAGGCATCTCTGGATGATTGTCTGAACAAATTATTTTTTCCTTGCTTCAAAACCTTTCAAGATGTTTATTTCTTTGTAAAAGAAAGACATGCCATTTGTAACTTTAGGTGAGTAATCAAAATCTAGCTCCTAAAACTCTCATTCTCTATTTTAACTCTGTTTTAAGTCTCATTCTGATAATACTTATTTTCTAAGGCACACAATAAAGACAAGATTAGATCTATTGTTTTTCTACCCACTCCATCTCTTCCTACCTGCCTTCTCTCCTTTAATCAAGTGTATACATACTAAGCCTCCAGAAACCTCTTTAGAGAGAACACAAGCCACAGCAGTTTTTTGAAACTCTTGTTTTTCCAGGTTGCTCCGTCAAGCTCTGGCTCAATAAAACTCAGTTGGTCAAGATTCTTGCCTCAGTCTTTCATTCTGGATAACCAGCATGAGTCCTGCAAAGCCCTTTAGTAATCTATTGCCTGCCTAGTTGATGTGTGCCTCGGTAAGTCATGTCTTCGTGAGTCAAACACTCTTCTTCCTTTTCTGCCTTTCCCAACCATACCACCCAGTGCTGAGTGCTCTGATCCGACCCCAGCTCCCAGGTTGTTTGTACTGGTCTAAGAAAGCAAGACCAGGAAGGGCAGGTTGAGAAGGAAGTAAGAGGCCAACAGCCGTGGGATGTGGCAAGTGGGGCTGTCGTCGCTCAAAGCTACACTCCCTGGGTGCATTTTATGAATTTTTCTGGATTTGGAATCTTTTCCCTGTGTGTCTATCTAGAAACTCACCTTCCTCCTACTTTCTTCTCATTACACTTTGTGTTTCTAGTGCACTTGTTTCTATCCAGAGAATGGCTATGCAAATTGTTGACAATAGAATAAAAAATGACTTTTTGTGAGACATGGAACCTGGTCTTTCTTTTTTCCAAAAAAGATTGAGGTTTCTAAAACCTTTTATGCAGGGCTGTGCAGTTGTGAGTATAGTGTTAGGGAACAGGTGCATAAGTGAAGGATGAGACAGAAAACAAAATGCTGGCTGTCAAATCCTGAAAGGAAACGGGGCAAAAATCATTTTTGAAGGTGGATGTCATTCAGGAGACCTTGTAAATCTCAGAATGTCCTTTTACCAGATGAAGTGGAGGATGAGGTTAAATTATGGAGTTAGGTGACAGTGGGCGCATACTTCTCTGCCACAGTTTTTTTTTTTTAAATCTGTAAAAATTAGGATGGTGGTAATTAGGAATTTTTTGTCATGACTGTAGCTACATGAAAAGCACTTAGGATGTGCCTGTTGCATAGTGAGTGCTGCGTTAGTGTGTGAGCTATTATAATTATGGGAATAGGCAAAAGTGCCACCCTGGCCATGCAGAGTGTGGAGGTACTTTCTAGTCAGGGTCCAGGCAGGCCAGCTGGAGATGAAGCTGGTTAGTGGGGAAAGTTAACTTCCAGGAGTAGAAGAATTTAGGTGGAGTAAGTCATGCACAATATTCTGTAAACATTCCATTACCCAACAGTAGGAATACTTAGAGTGGTGTGGCTTCCATGACAATCATTATCTCCTGGGAATCTAAGAATGTGTCCTAGAGTTGAAAGGCTTTGATGTAAGCCAAACCCAGAAATAGGCTTCATGGCTGCCTTGCCGACAGCATTCATCTTGAAAAAGGAAAGCATTCCTCTTGCTAAAGGAATACCCTCTTCTGGCCCAGGCCATTATTTTTGTTTTTGTACTATCCTAAGTTTTAAAGTGTAAGGAGAAAGACTGAAGAATAAAATAATGAAGTGCATGTATGAAATAACAGGGTAGAATTGAGACTGGTATGTGTAAGTTAAGAGAAATCACGTATAAATTTTGTGTGAACAAAAGAAGGATTTCTTGTTGCAAACAGACCTCTCCATATAAATAATACCCATTGCCTGGAGTGGATAGCAGGCTCCATCACAAGAACACACCATCAGAGTCATGAGAGAATGGATAGTGTGGCTTCTTTAATTGGCAGGTTAGACTGAGAAAGCTATTGAAGAGAAAGGAGTTGAAGGAGGAGATGGGTGAAGGCAAGAAAAATGGGATGGTGAAAGGAAAGGACTGAAAGGAATGTTTACCCAGGGCTCCTCAGGCACCAGGCTGTGTGACTAATGTCTTACACATGTTAATTAACTCTTCCACTGTCATTTTCTGACGCAGTAAGAGTCAGCCTTACACTGCAGATGAGGAAAGAGGCTGAGGGAGGTCAAAGGAGTGTCCTAGGGTCATCCAGCCACTTCATAGCAGAGCTAGTATGTTTCACTGTGGTTTGTGCAGACAGAAAAGTGAGACATGGAAAGAAGGCAAACCATATTTTTGTTGTGGGTGATATTTATGAAAGTGACCTGTATGGGGCAGATTAGTGGCCTCTTAAAAGTGTCCACAGCCGGGCTGTGTGCGGTGGCTCACGCGTATAATCCCAGCACTTTGGGAGGCCGAGACGGGCAAATCAAGATGTCAGGAGTTCGAGAGCAGCCTGATCAATATGGTGAAACCCTGTTTCTACTGAAAATGCAAAAATTAGCTGGGCATGGCGGTGGATGCCTGTAATCCCAGCTACTTGGGAGGCTGAGGAAGGAGAATAATTTTAACCTGGGAAGTGGAAGTTGCAGTGAGCCGAAGTAACCCCACTGCACTCCAGCCGGGACAGCATCAGTGAAACTCTGTCGCAAAAAATAAAATAAATAAATAAAATCCACATCCTAACTCTTGGACCACGTGCCTTTACTTTTCTTAGCAAAAACTATGTTCAATGGTGATGAAGTTGAGTATCTTGAGATGGAAAACTTATTTTGGATTATCTGGGTGGCTCCCAGTGTCATCATAAAGGTCCTTGTAAGTCAAAGAGAAAGGCAGGAGGGTCAGGGTGAGAATGATGCAGCCTCAGAGACTCCACTGGACATTGCTTGCTGTGAACATGTGTGACAAGACAAAATTACAACTAATTTAATTTTAGATGTAATTGGCTTTTACTTGTGTTTTATGAGTTGGGGCAGCTCTCCCTCTGTAGATACAGTGATAACTCCTCCTCGGCAATACAATTACAAAACAGTGGGTTTTGTCAAATGCGAATCAATAAACAAGGCCCTAGAAATAAATTGATTGGTTAACATCAGGGTACTTCAGGTCACTTTTTTTTGGTAAAAGTTAAAGCAGAGGTGAATTCATTATTATGCTCACTCAGGTAGACTGGAATCATCTTTTTACAGAAAAATATGATCTGTTTTGAGAGCTATCTGCTTCCTTAAAATTTCCGTGGGAGTATATAACATTTATCATGTGTGGCTCTATTTTGGAGTGTCTGTATTCTCACTTAGGTGAGGATATGACCAAAACTTAAAGCATTAACATTGATCTCAATAACCGTAATTTTAGGCTTCCATCAATTCTTTTCTCTTTTTTCAATTTCCTTTGTCTTAAACATTTTTTTAAAATATTTTATGTTCTAGGGTACATGTGCAAAACGTGCAGGTTTGTTACATATGTATACATGTGCCATGTTAGTGTGCTGCACCCGTTAACTCGTCATTTACATTAGGTAATCTACTAATGCTATCCCTCCCCCTCCCCACCACCCCACAACAGACCCCGGTGTGTTATATTCCCCTTCCTGTGTCCAAGTGTTCTCATTGTACAATTACCACCTGTGAGTGAGAACATACGGTGTTTGATTTTCTGTTCTTGTGACAGTTTGCTGAGAATGATGGTTTCCAGCTGCATCCATGTCCTCATGAAGGACATGAACTCATCCTTTATTATGGCTGCATAGTATTCCATGGTGTATATGTGCCACATTTTCTTAATCCAGTCTGTCATTGATGGACATTCGGGTTGGTTCCAAGTCTTTGCTATTGTGAATAGTGCCGCAATAAACGTCCGTGTGCATGTGTCTTTATAGCAGCATGATTTATAATCCTTTGGATATATACCCAGTAATGGGATGGCTGGGTCAAATGGTATTTCTAGTTCTAGATCCTCGAGGAATCGCCACACTGTCTTCCACAATGGTTGAACTAGTTTACAATCCCATCAACAGTGTAAAAGTGTTCCTATTTCTCCACATCCTCCCCAGCACCTGTTGTTTCCTGACTTTTTTATGATCGCCATTCTAACTGGTGTGAGATGGTATCTCATTGTGGTTTTGATTTGCATTTCTCTGATGGCCAGGGATGATGAGCATTTTTTCATGTGTCTGTTGGCAGCATAAATGCCTTCTTTTGAGAAGTGTCTGTTCATATCTTTTGCCCACTTTTTGATGGGGTTGTTTGTCTTTTTCTTGTAAATTTGTTTGAGTTCCTTGTAGGTTATGGATATTAGCCCTTTGTCAGATGAGTAGATTGCAAAAATTTTCTCCCATTCTGTAGGTTGCCTGTTCACTCTGATGGTAGTTTTTTTTGCTGTGCAGAAGCTCTTCAGTTTAGTTAGCTCCCATTTGTCAATTTTGGCTTTTGTTGCTCTTGCTTTTGGATTTTTAGACATGTAGTCCTTGCCCATGCCTATGTCCTGAATGGTATTGCCTAGGTTTTCTTCTTGGGTTTTTATGGTTTTAGGTCTAACATTTATGTGTTTAATCCATCTTGAATTAATATTTGTGTAAGGTGTAAGGAAGTGATCCAGTTTCAGCTTTCTACTTATGGCTAGCCGGTTTTCCCAGCACCATTTATTAAATAGGAAATCCTTTCCCCATTTCTTGTTTTTATCAGGTTTGTCAAAGATCAGGTGGTTGTAGATTTGTGGTATTATTTCTGAGGACTCTGTTCTATTCCATTGGTCTATATCTCTGTTTTGGTACCAGTATCATGCTGTTTTGGTTACTGTAGCATCGTAATACAGTTTGAAGTCAGGTAGCCTGATGCTTCCACCTCTGTTCTTTTGACTTAGGATAGTCTTGGCAATGCGGGCTTTTTTGTGGTTCCATATGAACTTTAAAGTAGTTTTCTCCAATTGTGTGAAGAAAGTAATTGGTAGCTAAATGGGGAACGCATTGAATCTCTAAATTACCTTGGGAAGTATGGGCATTTTCACAATATTGATTCTTCCTATCCGTGAGCATGGAATGTTCTTCCATTTGTTTGTTTCCACTTTTATTTCACTGAGCAGTCGTTTTTACTTCTCCTTGAAGAGGTCCTTCACATCCCTTGTAAGTTGGATTTCCAGGTATTTTATTCTCTTTGAAGCAATTGTAAATGCCAGTTCATTCATGATTTCACCCTCTGTTTGTCTGTTACTGGTGTATAAGAATCCTTGTGATTTTTGCACATTGATTTTGTATCCTGAGACTCTGCTGAAGATGCTTATCAGCTTCAGTAGATTGTGGGCTGAGACGATGGGGTTTTCTAAATATACAATCATGTCATCTGCAAACAGGGACAATTTGACTTCCTCTTCTCCTAATTGAAAACTTTTTTTCTTTCTCTTGCCTGGTTGCCCTGACCAGAACTTCCAACAGTATGTTGAATAGGATTGGCGAGAGAGCGCATCCC